TTACACAGTAAAAGACCGAGGCATGTTACTTATTTTTGCTCGCACTTTTCGGCTGAAACCGTGGCATTTCAGTGTGGGACGCAGTGGTCCAAATTTCGCGAGGGCTACGTCCCAAAGGCAGGGGGCTGCGTCCCAAAATGGGACGCAGTCAGTATGTTAAAATATGCCCTGATAGAGCATATCGACAGCATGAAGCCTGCTGTATCAGTTTATCATATCCCTATTGCTCTTCTTCATTGCTTAGACCGTGAATTGTTGTGAGACTTGATTTGATTCTGGAATCGGAGTTCAAAAATGAAGAACAACTCAATTTCTTCTCCCTCATTTCTCCCTGTGCTTCCTTCTCCTTTAATCGTCCCTCTCCCTCCTCTCTCTCTCTCTCTCTCTCTCTCTCTCTCTCTCTTTCTCTCTCTCTCTCTCACTCTCTCTCTTTCTCTCTCTCTCTTTCTCTCTCTCTCTCTCTCTCTCTCTCTCTCTCTCTCTCTCTCTCTCTCTCTCTCTCTCTCTCTCTCTCTCTCTCTCTCTCTCTCTCTCTCTCCCGCCTACTCTCGCACGGTTTATCGGTATTGATCCAGCCTGCCGTCCAAGTTGGAAGCCCAGGCGACCGGCGCCGCGAGACCGCCGTGCATTTGATGAACTGGTCTGGTCGTTGGTCTGGCCCTCCAGCCGAGCCAGCGCCGCGTCTCGCCGCCGAGCCAGGCCACTCGTAATGAAACGCGACGCCCCGCGATAATCAACATTCCCGAGAAGGAAAGTAAAACATCTCCGCGACGGGAGCTCGTAGCAATCAGGCGCCTTTGATGCTCCTCACCGGGGGACGGCGCGCACGGCCGACGTCGCTCGTCCTCTGTCGTATTGTTTTTCGATGCAGTCTGGCCCGCTTCAAAGACTGGCTGGCTGTAGGGTGATTTGGCGGCGCTGCTTCCTCCGAGCCGCTCGCTGAATACTATAGCTCTGGACGGAACGGGAGCCGGTGGAAGCCGATGGCGGCCACACACGGAGCTCGTGCTGGAACAGCACAGGGAGGAACCAGAGGCAGAGAGGAGGCAGGAGCAGAGAGAAGGCAGAGGCAGGGAGGCGGACAGAGAACAGGGAGCAGCTACAGCCTACAAACCGGGTCCTGCAGCCAGAGTCGGCCGGAACCACAGGCGCCGAACCGGCACCCTTCACAGGGTAACTCTATTTTCATGGTCAGTAGCTCAGTGTTTGTGTTTTCATTTTATGTCGTGCCGCTGCACTGCTCCATTAAATCTGTTGTTGGCCATTGAGCACGCCCGGGAGTCGGCAGTCATTCGGAGCAGCGGGCCACTCGTGTCCGCGCCATCGGCAAATATGGCCCAGCAACTGGACCGAATGGCCACTGTAAACCGTGCCATAAAGCTCCCATGACGCAAACGGCAGGCAGTAGTCGCAGATCAACATCGAATAAAGCTACACTGGCAGCACCATTGTTCTATCAAAACCAACGCATAAAACTATGTTGATAAAACCGTGTTGATATTTTATCCATTCTCATATTCGGCTATAATGCTGCAATGGAGACCATCCAAGGTCACGCGTGACGGAGATGCATACAATAAGAGTTACACGAATGACGAAGTAAATAAAACAGTGATGAAGACATCCGATGAGCTCTCCAAACAGAACATCTAATAAATTATGCATTCAAAATCCATTCTTTTTTTGTGCATTTGCCTGTGACTTTCGTTGGGGGTAATGTCATATGCATACACTTTTGCCGCAGTGTATTTCCAAAATAGTGACCACGCCGTGTGCGCACGAAGTTTCCGATACCTGTCACTAGCTCGCGAAAAAAGCGGACGCTTCCGTCGACCAGCAGCGCTCCGGTGCCAGACTGGAGGGCCCGCTGTGCCGCAGCGCAGTGGTGCCTGGCGGTACAGCCTACCTTTCAGGCGGCCGGCTCGGCGACTGAAGCGTTGGCTCGGCTGACTGCCGCGCCGCGCGGCTGGCGCAAGAAACGATCCCCTGCTCTGATGAACTGACACTGCTGCCCGGCCAGTCATCGGTTCTTACGTTCGCTGGGCAGCCAAGGGTTGAAATCAGATGAGCTGTGCCTTAACGCTTTTGACAACCCTTATTGACCGACATCGTCATCGTGTTGTTCATCTTAATAAAACGGAGGCGAAAAGAACATTTATGTCACTAAACAAACCATCAATATTTTTGCGTTACGCAGTGCGTTAAGCTGCACATTACTGCACATTGCTCATGAAACCCTGAAAATGCGTTTAAAGTGTTTGCTTGTAAATGTCCACACGGCTACTTTTTCGACCCTGCGGTTACTTGTAGGCATGTCCGTCTGAGTCCGCGGCGCTCCCGCAGTGACGCTGGGGCAGCATGGGGAGCGCCATCCTTGCCGACCCGCACCCTCCGGCACGGGGACGCCGTCGGATCCTACGACCTTGTTCCCCGGCAGGTCGGCGTCTGAATTGCTAGTGACGGCCAACGGATGGGCCAGAGGGGGAGGGGGACGGGCGGCGGCAATCGATGTGCGGCGGCTGGCTCAGGAAAGTCGCCGCCGCCGCCACCGCCGCCGCCGGGAGCCGTCTTTGTACAAAGTCGTGATTGATTGCGCCGGAGGCCATCCACGGAGCGTCACAATACCGCCGGCGGCGGCGGCGGGCGGCGGGCCGGCGGCACCTGTCGGCACAGGCGCCGCCGGGCATCGAGCGGCTCGAACAGAGCGGCCGCCCGTGTCGGCGGCCGTGCGCTGTTTGCACCGCTAGAATGGTGTTTGGATGGGACGAACAAACATTTGTCGACGTATCCGCGCGGTCCGGCGCGGGCCGCAGTTCAATGGCGAGTGAAGATCAAAGCAGGACGTCCGTAACTGTTTGGCGATTCACCGCATATTCTATAAATGGTTGAATTTTGTTTGGATTCTGGTTATTAGACTTCATCATTGTTTTGGTTATAGGATGTCGGTGTAAACCGAGACTCAGGCAAGGTGTGCACTTCTAGTGATCCGCTGGTTCTATGACTCACTGCCACTGAGGTTGGATAGCCCTCCGCTCCGTCTCCATGATATTACAGCCGCCTCGCCCGTGTGACGGGTGCCGGCCAGGACAAACCTCTCACGGCGGGTCGGCCGTCAACGGCGACAGGTCGCTGCGAAAACGCTGTCACGGACAGTGAGCTATTGCTGGAATATTCGGTAACAGTACCTCCCCACGGGATTGCCTGCGCTGAACGTTTATACAGACGGATGCCTTCTACTTACCTGCGCCAGTCCTCTTGACCGTGTCACACCGCTCAAATTCAAGAAAAAGTGTCTCGCAGAGACACTTTTGCGGAAATGCATGATTAAATTTAAATAGTGTTTTTGTGATAATGCAAGTCTTGATAATCATATTTCAAGCGGCATTTTAAAGGTCCCTCCGCGCCCAACATTTCCCCAAGCTCCCAGGGAACGAACCGAGAAAACGAAGCTCGTGTCAAATGGATTTCCAAATACTAGAAAGCACAATTCCTGAGGTTTTATTTGAATTTCAGTTCGGCCCCCACACGGAACAACTTATCATGATGGCTCGGAGTGCTATGAATAATAAGCTTATCTGAAATGCTGACAAATGCCAAAATTGAGATGGCAGGCCACTGGATCATGTAAATTTCAAACGATAAGAGTATTTCTCCAAACGCATGCATGCTTATTCCATAAATATGTCACATTAAGCCGGCAGTCATTTCGAATTTCGCCCATCAATTAACCATTAATCACTTTCCTCCATTTGGAGCACGCACATCGGAATGAAATCACGCCCGAATTTAATTCGGTGCGCACAATTACCGATTCAAATACCCCGTAATGGGCTGCAGTGTAGCCTGCCGAGGTGGCCCGCATGAATATGCAGCGCTTTCAGCCGTCGCCGCGCAGCGAGAGGTGACGGCAATGAATGCAGTATGCATGGGTCCGGGGCTGAAAGGGAGCCAGTTGGAGTGCCGGGCTCGATAGAGCGGATAAGTGGAGGCTGGCCTCACTGAAAGGTGAAGTAGCCTGCCGAGACAGGAGGAAGCTGGGTGATTGCTAAATGCTCAGAAGATTAAGCTAAAAAATAAGCTGGTATTTGTGTTAATACGGTGCATACGTTTGACACATTGCGTGGTGTCTTCTTCAACAATTAACGTCGTGCCGTGCAATCTTGTTCTTGATGCATTGAAGTGAAAAAATGACCAGGGGTCACATATGGCCGCCCTCACTCGCCACTGCAGCTCCAATGCTCTAAAAAAAATGATCTTCTCCGGTTGACCTTTGCAGCGGCGAATCCAGGCTCTCCAAGTTTACCGTCTTTGCTGGCACTGAGCCGGGGTCCAGTCCCAGCGGGCCAGTCCAGTTAATTCGCGTCTAATTGGATCCAATATCGGCTTTGAAAACTCCGTCCGCTGGGATCCAAAGTTTGCCTCCAGTTGCGGGTTTTCAATGCTCTCCACTTCTGATCGTGGGCCTGGGATACAGCTGTGTTTCATTCTGTCAGTTGCACTAAGTTTGTCCCGTTTTTCATCGGGGATATCTTGTATAACTCCAGCCAGGTGTTGTCCCTTGTTCGAACTTCGTGTAAGGTCGGAGTAGGAGAACAAGTTTCTCTCTCTCTCTCTCTCTCTCTCTCTCTCTCTCTCTCTCTCTCTCTCTCTCTCTCTCTCTCTCTCTCTCTCTCTCTCTCTCTCTCTCTCTCTCTCTCTCTCTCTCTCTCTCTCTCTCACTCACTGCTCTTTTCAATATGCATATATGCTACATTTCCAGTCCGCTGATAGAACCCCCGTGTAAACAAACCGATGCTTTGAGATGTATCCTATTTCTTCTACAGTGTAGCCCTGCGGCTGCTGATCATCCCCGAAGTGTCTGTAACAGTTCCGTCCGACTCTGACGGACCTCGTCTGTCGTAAGTTTCAGTTCGGACCTCGTTAGTTTCGTCCCACTAACATTTTTCATGTGTCTGATGCAGTTCTATCCCACTCTGCTATTTCTCGTCTGTCTGTTTCAGTTCCACCCGAGCAGCCGGAGGTGTATAACGCCTCCGGCCACATGGTGCGCGAGGTGGCCGGGCCGTACAAGATGGGCGACACCGCTCGGCTCACCTGCGAGGTCAAAGGAGGTCAGTGCCACACGCCCCGAGACGCCTGGAGGGTCAGGGGTAAAGGGTAGGGGACAGGAGTTGACGAGAGATGATAGCTTGGACATCCATCATCGCACTGATACATGGTGTACTCACACATATAGGTACTCGCATTCCCCATAGATACTCACATTCACACATAGATATATACTCACAGCCCCCAGCCCCTCGATCCGTCCGGCAGATTCCCACGAACACCGACACGGGAGTGCTTATTTACATGGTAATAAGGGGCCTGTAACAAGGCATTGTAGTGCGGAATGTCTGTAATTAACCGACGCTCACATTCATTTAGAAATTAGAAGAAACACTTGTTGCGGATGAGTGGTGAAGCACCATCTCCCACCTTCCCTTCCGGTGCCATTGCCAAACTCCCAGGCCACATGGTTGGTTCTGCTGTTCTGTTATTACGGTCTTTTTAGTAGCTAAGAAATACATGTGTGCTATAATTTGATTCCAGTTCGATTTAAATTATCGCAAAAAAACATTTATTGCGTTATTTTTACGAGAGTTACGTCTGGCTAGGCAACGCATGCCTAATTAGAGCTTACTCTGTTCGATTTTTGATTCCTGCGCCTGCCTACCTTACAGTGTGGTGTGAATGCTAGCCGGAATGCAGTCATTTAACCGCAGCTGCCACTGAGGGCTCGTTGACATTTGTCGCTGCTTGGAAGACAAGGTGGTATATTCTGATTAAATGGGCAAAGTCTCGCTGGGCTTGCTGAGGCTACCCAAGTAAAATCATTAACAAGTGAGAAATGTGCTAAGTTTGCTCGGTTAGACGTCATTTTATGGAAAAGTTCATAATTTAATATCAGGCGTAAATTTACTCGTTGCTACGAAGCCAAGCAATATCCACATTGTTGGCCGACATTGATATCAACACGCGGGTGGAGCCAAGAATGGTGCTCCGCCTCCCACCGCCCACCAGTATCTGCGGGCCGAAGCTGCCTCCAGTGAGCTGTTGAGGGCCCTCCCGGCTCTCCGTTAACCGCCCTTTTGGCCCGCGGGCCGCGACAAGCCTGGGGACCTTCCCTTCGACCTGCCAGCAGCAGAAAGCTCGGGGATTTGCCCTCTCGACCCGCCGGCCATAGAAGGCTCTGAGGCCTGACCTATCGACCTGCAGACCCCTCCTCTCGACTGGGCGGTCGTCTCGACCCTCCGTGCGCCGGGCGGTCGAAACTCGGCAGTCCTCTCTCTCGCCTCGCCGGCCGCAGAGGGGCAGAGGACCTCTTCACGGCCCGCCGGCCGCAGAAGCGCCGCGCTACGTCGTTTTTGTCGCGCCCAGTCGCCGCCGCCCGGCACGCGCGCGTCCGCTGCTCGCTCTCGAAGCGTCCTGTTTTCGGAGTCGTCTGTATTTAATGGCGCTCGGGCGCGGCCATGTCAGCACCGCCACCGAGACGCTTTTTAGCGGCGAAATTGTCCCCCAGCCGGCGCGCCGGAAAAATACGGCTGCCGAGCGACCTGTTATTGATGGATGTTCCGCGCCGCGGCGTGTTATTGATGGATGTCCAGCCGGTAAATCAGAGCTCGCAGCCGGGCCACTAAAACGCCCCAGGCACTCGGAAAGTTTTCTCTTCCTGGGACATGCTCGAGTGGTGTCATAACATCCGAAGGTAACTGATTGAAATATATGTTTACATCTGCATTCTTCGAGTGTCATGGAATCTAATCATAAGATGATTTTGTAGATGTATGTAGGTACAGCGTATCGGCGTAGGCATTTTAATGTTATTGATTAACCCGTGGAGTAACGTAGGGGAAGCCGGGGGAAGCCCGGCATAGTAAGCTCTTTTTCATTTTTATTACATACCATACGTGCTGTATAAAATGTTGATATCCTGCTAGCTAGCTAAGTTCATTGGCCGTGTTTTCCCAAAAATTCGGTTTCGTGGAATAAGTATAAGGTTGAGAAAATCGAGTTTTAAAAAAGTGATGATTTTTCTGGGGTAAGCCCGGCATAGGGGTAACGCCGGCCACCTCCCCAGCGCTTTACAACGAGTTGATGAAACCATTATGTGTTTTCCAAATATTAACGGAAAGTGAAATATTAAGGTACTGATTAGCTCTGGACATCTTAGAGTTTATGTCACTACTGGTATTTTAGCTAGCGTCTACTACATATACAGTACAGGTCGATGAAAATCGTGATGCAAAATTGACAAAAAATGTGTATTTCAAAATTCCTTAAAATTTATTTTTCTTTTTACCTTAATGCATCATATTGCATATCATTCGACTCGGCTGATGAAGAAGAACACAACGACACCATTTTTGAAGCTTTAGCTTCATTGTCTGTCGCGTTATCTGCAAAAACGTAGTTTGACCCTAGTTGACCTTAAGTGACATGACTGGCCTTGTCTATGATAACATGTTTATTCTCGAAATTTATCTTTGATCTAGGTGTAAACCAAACCTGCTCAGTACCTATTATCTCATGGAAAACAGTGGTTTAGTGGCATTGCTCTCGGTTGGGGGTAAGTTTGGCCACTCGCCCGGGGTTACCCCAATGTGATGATTTTTATTTTAGAACAGCGATATTCGAAAAAATGTCATACTTAAGCCAGCCTGCCTCGTCACCCCTCACTACAAACACTTAAACGGTCCTTACATAACATTCGTATAAATATTAGTACTGTATGGTATAACATTAACAGTGCAACATATCTCACTTTTTAGCTAAAAACCCTTAAAATATCATTTTTGCGCTATAACTTTAACAATATGCAATTTTTGTCAGCCTTAACTTTTTTGCTGGCGTTACCTTAGCTGCCACGCTGAAAGGACAAACAGTTGAGCATTTTATTGTGAATAATTTAGCCGGAAACGGGGTGGCCGGGCTTCCCCCGCGCCCGGGCTTCCCCCGGCTTCCCCTACTAAAAGCAGATTCCTTCTTTATTGTGCTGCTGTTGCTGAATATGCAGCTGCCCATGTCATCAAGCTTACCTGGACTCGTACTATGGTCTGTTGGGAGCCCGGCAGTCCTTTATTCTAACCAATCAAGGAACCTGAGGACATGCTCGAGTGGTGTCATAACATCCGAAGGTAACTGATTGAAATATATGTTTACATCTGCATTCTTCGAGTGTCATGGAATCTAATCATAAGATGATTTTGTAGATGTATGTAACCGAAGGTTTGTTGTCAATAGTTAAAATACTATTCTTTAGAATTGTGTTTTTCTATTGAAAAACAAATCTGAGTTCCCTGACAATTTGGCAAAAGCTGCCTGAGATCAGTACAACTTGATGCTCTTGAAAACGGCTGCTCCAAAAATTCTGATTTTTTTCAGGATTTCTAGTGGGCCAGGTGATCTACGTTCTGGTATGGGTCTCCCCTCCGCGGACCATCTGGTGCACGTGCCACGTGACTTTGAAAATTCCCGTGTTAAGCCAATGGGCAAAATGAAAAAATGCGTTCCACGGCAGATTGCTCGAAAACGATCCAAACGACCCCCCATTTTCTTACATGCAGATCAACCACCATTCGGTGCACTACCCATGGGTATGTCGCAAAGTGGCCGGAAAAGTCCAGAACCACGTGCCACGTGCCGTTGAAAATGACCCTGCACACCGGAAATTGGGACTTTTGGTCATTTCGGCGCACCCATGATGCATACTATGGCGTGGGTGACCAAACAATGGGTGTCATCCGGTCGGCAACTGTTTAAGGTGTCGTCCAGTGGGCCAAAGTGGTAGTTTCAAACTTTTGGGATCCACCATTCTGGGGATTCTTTTTGACAATATACTTAGGTACGTTTCTTGGCGCAATGTTCATTCCACCCAGCCGGTCGTCAATGCGTTAGATGACCCAAATGACGATTGACCTGAAGGAAGTTGGGGGCGAGGAACACGCACGTGCCATCCGTTTTTTAATCGGGCGCTTTCATCTAGGAGATTTTTGCAGATACGTCAATGCGTTAGATGACCCAAATGACGATTGACCTGAAGGAAGTTGGGGGCGAGGAACACGCACGTGCCATCCGTTTTTTAATCGGGCGCTTTCATCTAGGAGATTTTTGCAGATATCTTTTTGATTTGTGAAAATGACCAGCCTAGCGGTATGCCAGCCGCTGATAAATTATTATCTTGCTGCGGCCGGGCGCTTATTTGCGGTGTTTGCGTTTGGCGGCTGGCGGGCGACTTTTAGTCGTTTTCGGTTAGCAGTTAGCGTCGGTGCGGTGCGGGCGGTTTTATTTTTTCGGCGTTTCGGCGTTTTTTTCTGTGTGGTTTGCGGCGGTCGGGTGATTTTTTTGCCGTTTGCGTTGGCTTTTCGGGCGTGCGTTTTACACGTTTTGCGGTGTTTACGTTTTGCGGCGGGCGGGCGTTTTGTGTTTTTTGCGGTGTTTGTCTTTGGCGGCGGGCGGGCGGGCGGGCGATGCGGGCGGTTTTCTTTTTTTTTTTTGCGTCGTTTGCGGTGTTAAATTTGTTTGCGGTTGGCGGCCGCTTTTTCGTTTTTTTTGCGGTGTTTTTTTTTTTTTTGGCGGCGGGCGGGCGATTTTCAGGCGTTTTCGGTTGGCGGTTAGCGGGCGTGCGATGCGGGCGGTTTTATTGTTTTGCGGCGTTTTTGCGTTTTTTTATTTGCGGTTTGCGGGGGGCGTTTGTTTATTTTTTGCGACCTTTGCGTTGGCGTTTCGGGCGTGCGTTTTGCGGTGTTTGCGTTTTGCGGCGGGCGGGCGTTTTTCACAATTCAAAGTTCAAACCTTCGGGCCACAGCGCTCCTCGAAAAGCGCTGCCCTCGAGTAGGTACAGCGTATCGGCGTAGGCATTTTAATGTTATTGATTAACCCGTGGAGTAACGTACTAAAAGCAGATTCCTTCTTTATTGTGCTGCTGTTGCTGAATATGCAGCTGCCCATGTCATCAAGCTTACCTGGACTCGTACTATGGTCTGTTGGGAGCCCGGCAGTCCTTTATTCTAACCAATCAAGGAACCTGATGAAAAAGTTTTATCAGGGGGCTTCACGCACACCTATTGATTACAAAAACTGACTGGTGATCGCATTATTTTTTATATTTGTGAAAAAAACGTATTTGTAGATTCATACAATAAATTTTGTACTATCAAGATAAAGACATGACAACAAAGATGTAAGGGAAACTGCTCAGCGGTTTAACATATGTTGCTTTTGCGGGTAATAGATGGACAATAAACTTCCTCAGTGTTAATGTAAATGTTGCTTTGCTTCTTAAATACCCTTATTTCTATATCTGTTTTATCTCTTTCGTAACACATCTACTGCAATTGCAATTAAGTGAAATAATTTTCCTCGTTCTTCGTCCTCGTTCTAAAACAAAGAGGAATGCTGTATCACTCGTTCAATAAATAACCATGTCCATGTAGTAACTATGCATGTATTGTCTGCGTAGTATCAACCTTTTTCGCAGTTTGCTGCATGTTGATACATTTGCATACTGTTCCGCGTTTTTTCATCAAAACTTCTCATTAAGACTCACCCTACGTTCATCATTAGTTCCGGCATTTATCCTCTTTTCGCTTGTTAACATGCAAATGCACTTAATTTGCATTCACACGGAAAGGGCGCTTAAGATAAATTTGTTTTGATTTGTCAAAGTCGATAAGTTTATGCCTTATTCAGAAATCAGAACGGTTATTTTTTAAGTTTGAGAATGTCAGTTTCATTGTAGAAAGGTTCTCCTAACCTTCCGTATAGCTTTGGCTCCGACACTGGCACTGTCATTCACATACCACGTTTTCCAAAGAACCCACTTATCGATCAGAAGTGTTGGTTATGGCCAACGTTTTTGGATGTTTTTACAGACGCCCAAGCGAGGACTACGGGTGGTGATTGTAAACCTGTCATTTATGACCTGAATATAGTCCCAATGCCATAAATACCTGTTTGCCATCAGGGCCATTTTCAACGAATGATGGAGTAGTTATGACCACAGACTTGGCTGTAAGTTTCGCTGGCAGGAAGCCGTTACTTTTATAGCTTCTCGGCAGACCACCACATGTTTGTGTTTCGGTAAATTCCTTGCAATGCGCTGGCGCCCTAAAAGAGTTTGGTACAGCTACTATCTACAATTTGGTGAATTAGCACTCAGCTGCAAAACTGCAGCTGCAAATCCATGGGTATATTTTTCGCGTTGTGAAAGATAACTGGAAGTGCGGGTTCAATGGACCACCTCGGCGGACCCCTGGTCTGTTCCCGCGCCTGCCCCGTATCATATGTCTCCTGAACGGCCTATTGAAGCGGTCGGCTCTGCTCGGCCTGTCTGAGACGCGTGTCATCTCTGAATTGGAGCCATCAATATCTGGCCGGTTATCAGGCGGATGGCCGCGATCGACCCCGAGGACCACCGGCTGGTCCCGTCCGGACCAGAGCGGACCACCGGCTGGTCCCGTCCGGACCAGCGTTCTGTTGGACCATTGGACCGTGCCGTCCGGACCAGTGGACCAATCGGACCACCAGCTGGTCCGGTCTGGAGCAGCGGACCGTGATCTGCACGGGCACTTTGTAGACGGCTTCGTCTGACGAATTGTTTGTTGGCTAGGTTTCTGCTCTGCTGCCACCGAGATGACCGTTTGCTAGGCTGTCTTTTTATCATCTGAGTCTTGACTCCCTCCTCAGCAGCCAGTGAACTGTGGATTTGGCTGTATCATGCATCAGATATCGACATCCCGTCACCTGACTGCCACCTAGGTGTCACCTGTCATCTAACTGCCGTCCAAGTGTCACCTGTCATCTAACTGCAATCCAAGTGCCACCTGTCACCTGACTGCCATCCAAGTGTCACCTGTCACCTAACTGTCACCCAGCTGACAGCTAGCCCGCCGACCGCCGAGGTGTCTCGGCTGCACGGTCCAACTTTTGCACGGCCCTGCCATGGGGACCCGCCGTGCGCGCGCTCGGTGACACGGCTCATCAGCAGTGGCCTCCCGCCGCGCGCTTCGTCCCAGCCCCGCTGCTCGAACCCTAATTGCCTCTCCCGTATCAGACCGGGGAGGAAAGCAGCCTAACTAGGAAAAGTTTGACGTATTTCCCGTCCAATTACCAATCATGGCTGATGCTAACAAATTGAAAACACGGCTTATCCTTCAGTCGTCAATTAAATGTTGACTTATTATTCATAAAGTTGGCTGGATGGGCGGCAGCCGACCATCAAGATCTATAAGAGAAGGGCGATCGAAATCATTTCCAGTTCCTCCGCTTGCAGGTTTCGCAGAAAATTTCCACAATGGTATTTCATCGATATTTATTGACCAATACTAGCAAACAAACACCCATCTAGGCATGCTCACTGCACAGTGCATGGTACAGGCAGAAAACAGCCAGCTATATCCACGTTCTGGGTGCTTGGTGTGCAGTGTGACTGTGCACGCAGTGACCTGGCACCAACTCAAGTGAATTGCCCCCTGTCGAAGTGATTTGCTACTCAGTGCAACGACCCGTTGCGGCGGCGCAGTGACCCTAGTGGCGGTGCAGTGATCCGTTGCGGCAGCGCGGTGACCGGGCGATGTCCCGACAGGCCGGCCGCCGCCCAACGTCACCTGGTGGCTACACGAGGCGCTGGTGGACGACTCGTGGCACCAGGAGCGTGGCGTGACACGCAACACGCTGCAGGTGGCCTCCCTGCAGCGGGCTGACCTGGCCAACCAGTACACCTGCATGGCGGGCAACACGGCACTGCGGCCCCACCTCTCCACCGCCGTCCGGCTCGACATCAGCTGTGAGTAAGAACAGCGGCTTCTGAGTTCTGAATGCTGACCTCTGACCGCTGACCGCTGACCACTGACTACTGATCACTGACCTCTGACCTCTGACCGCTGACCGCTGACCACTGACTATTGTCCTCTGACTGCTGAGTGCTGACTACTGACGGCTGACCACCGTCGTCCGGCTCGACATCAGCTGTGAGTGGGACTGCTAACCGCTGACCAGAAACCACCAACTTCTGACCGCTGACCATAGACCACGTCTGGCTCACTCGATACCATCTGAGTGCAGCCGCATACCTCTCACTGCTGACTGCTGACCGCTGACCATTAGCTACTGGCGAACGCTTACCAGTGGCCACCGAACACTGTCCACCTATCTTCGTCTACTGGTCACTTATCTTTAGGATATGAATCCAAGTGTAGTTGCATTCATATTGTAACTTCTTGCATTGCATGTTATTATTTAATCTATTTTATTGTATGGTATATTGTATAATCAGAAATAGGTTTAATTAATCTTTAACTTAGATTGCAAACCCATGTTCGAATGAAAGGAGTCATTATCATAATTGCAATGGATATTTGTAGTGTATTGCACCACCCACGCGATATATACAGTCCGGTTTAAAGGAAGAACTCAAAACGCGCGCGGCACAGACCGTCACCATCCGTGACCACCGTCGCCAACCGACTGCCCCGCCGGCCGGCCTACGGACACGTCACTCGCCCTCAGCGCCACCCCCACAACCTGCAGTTAACAGAACTGCCGCTAGGTGACACGGGCACACTCGTACGGTACGGAACGAAAGAGGGACACCAGTCCGTAACAGAACACCACATTCTTCCCCCCTGGAAAAAGTTACAGTCTATTTGGCGCACGTCTGGTACGCTGGGACCTCCTCACCGGCTGCGTCCCGGAGTTCACTCTCGCGCCCGGCTGGAGAGCAGGTTCGACCGCCACCAGCCCGGCACCGCTCGCTGCCTCGCGCGGCGACAGCAGTACGCCAGCGTCTTGTTGCTCTGCCTGCCGCTCCGTCGCCGGAGGTGTTGACGCCTCCCGCTCCCGAGCGTCCTCTGCGTCTTCCGGTGACACAGCCACGCCGTCCTCCGCGGGACCCCGGCTGGCCTCGGTGTGTCGCCGGCCGACCCCCAGTGACACAGCCTGTCCGTCCTCCAGTGGCACGCCGTCCTCCGCGTGCCGCCAGTCGTCGGCCTCCAGCCGCTCCCCGCGGCGAGGCACCGACGTCGGAGACACCGCACTCCGCTGACCAGCCCCCGGCTGGCCGCTCTGATCCACGTGCAGCTCAGCCTGAGACTGCTGCGGCGCCCGAGCTGTCGTCAGCCGCTCTGCGTGGATCCGGGAGCCGTCATCCAGCCTGTAGCTGACTGGTCCCAGGCGAGACTCCACCCGTCTCGGCTCGGAGTACCGTGGCCGTCCCTTCTTGGGACGCGGCACCAGCCGGCACCGGACCCAGTCGCCGACCTGGAACCGTGGTGTCTCAGCTGCACGCCGCTCGTCAGCGTACCTCTTCTGCTTCTTCTGCCTCTTCTGCACTCTGTCTCGCAGCTCACGATCTTGCGGTTCTTCCGTGGGAAGAGCCGCCGCGTGCAGACGTGTCCTCAGCTTCCGTCCGTGCAGAAGCTCGGCTGGACTCAGCCCCGTCGTGGCGTGAGGCGTGCTCCTGTACGTTTGCAGAAACTTCTGCAGATAACACGCTCGATCTTCGCCGCTCCGGTCCGCCGCCTGGAGAGCACTTTTCACAGTGCGATTCGCACGCTCCACCGCACCTGACCCGGCAGGGTGGTACGGCGTGACCCGGATGTGGCGCGTGCCGACACTCCTCAGGTAATCTGCGAACGCTGCTGAGGTGAAGTGTGTCCCGTTGTCGGACACCAGCTCCTTCGGGTAACCTTCTCGAGATGCTAGCGTCTCCAGAAACTGCTCCACCGCCTCCGTGCTGGGTTCTGTGCAGAAGCCGACTTCTATCCATTTGGAAAAGTAGTCTACCAGCACTACTGCGTATCGGTGCTGGCGGCGCGCTTCCATTGGGCCGATAAAATCCACGCCCACCTTCTCCCATGCCGCTCCTGGCAGCGGCACAGGGTGTAGCGGCGCACTGCGAGTCCGAGCCGACTTGTCCACGTCAGCACACACGACGCAGTTTCTCACCGCCTCTTCTATGTCCGTGTCCATCTTGGGCCACCAGTAGATGTCACGAGCCCGCTGCTTAGTTCGGACGATCCCTTGATGTCCTTCGTGGGCCAGGGACACCATCCTCGTCCGCAGCGCCGCCGGCACGATCACCCGCTGACCGCGGACGACCAGGTCTCCCACTAGGCTGAGCTCCTCTCGGCAGTTGTAGAAGGGCTGCAGCTCTGCCGGGCAGTCGCGGCGCCGTCGCGGCCACCGCCGTGGGATCTGCTGCACCAGCTGGCACAGCACTGGGTCAGTCTGTGTCGCTTCCAGCAGCTCGTCCCGCTGCACTGCTCCGAGCTGGGCAGTCACCGCCGCCCTCACGGCGTACGGTAGAGGTCTCAGCCGCAGCTGTACTGGGTTGGCCTCCGTCTTCAGTTTCACGCTGTGCACGAGCCCAGTGAGACTCGGCAGCTCCTCTGGCATCTGCTCCTGGATAGCACACACAGTCGCCCCGTGAATCACGGACAACTTGAGCTTCTCCTGCAGATCTCTGCCCAGCAGGGGCACGCCAGCGTCTACCACGTACAGTGAAACTTGGGAGCTGTTGCCGTTCTCTGCCTGCACTGTCACCTGCACCACCCCCTGCACCAGCAGCGATGACCCTCCGTAGGCCTCCAGGCGCACTGCAGTGGGCAGGAGGGGCAGATGGCGGAACTGCTTCCTGTAGACGGACAACGGTAGGATGCTCACGGCCGAGCCAGTGTCAGCCAGCATCCGCAGTGGCTGCTGGTCCACCCGCAGCTCGGTCCACAGGTTCTTCCGGTCGTCATCCGTCACGGCCAGCACTTCAACGGTCCTTACTGGCTTCCTCTTGGTCTGCTTCGTCTTCTTAGGTGGTTCCTTGCAGAATCTGGCGTAGTGGCCCTTCTGCTGGCAGTTGTGGCACCTTCTCCAACGAGCTGGACAGCAGGGATCAGCAGTCCGGTGGGGACCGCCACAGTTGCAGCACGGCGAGACCCCCTTCCTGGGAGCAGTAGTCACTGCAGCTATCTCCAGCTGAGCCGGGGAAGAGGTTGATGCACGGGTAGCTCCACCTCCACCCACCAGCCGCTGTCGCTCAGCAGCCACCTCCAGCTCCTCAGCCACCTCGAGGATGCGCAACACAGTCAGAGCTGGCTCCCGACACAGCCGCTCCCTCAACCTGTCGTCCCTGCAGCCCTCGATGAACTGCTCACAGGTCAGCTGCTCCTGGAGATCGCCGAAGGCGCACCTGGAACTCAGGTCCTGCAGCTCAGTGAGGTACACCGCTGGAGACCTGTCCAGCTGGTAACACCGCCGGAACAGCATTCTCTCGGAATGAGTCGCTCGTGTCTCCGGAAACAGCCGCTGAAACACTGCAGAGATCGCAGCCACCGGGTCGACTGCTGCAGTCGGTTGTCCTTCCTCCTTGACGCCATCTTCCTCCTGCGCCGGAATCGCCGCCTCCTGCGCTCCCGGTGCCACGCCCTGCGCCGGTTTCGCCGCCGCGAAATAGAGACGCCGCGCCTCCTGTCCCACACAGTGTAATAGGAGGGCCTCTCGTCGCTGAACAGTCCACTCGTCCCAACCACTCGCCACGGCGAAAATCCTGAACTCGCCAAGCCACTGGGACCAGGGCGTGGTCGGCCGTCCTGGCGCCACTAGAAATGGCGCTGGCGCACGCAAACAGTCCATTGCGGCGATCACTGTTATCACTTAGCGCAGAAGGATCTCATCCTCGTCGCCACTGTAGTGTATTGCACCACCCACGCGATATATACAGTCCGGTTTAAAGGAAGAACTCAAAACGCGCGCGGCACAGACCGTCACCATCCGTGACCACCGTCGCCAACCGACTGCCCCGCCGGCCGGCCTACGGACACGTCACTCGCCCTCAGCGCCACCCCCACAACCTGCAGTTAACAGAACTGCCGCTAGGTGACACGGGCACACTCGTACGGTACGGAACGAAAGAGGGACACCAGTCCGTAACAGAACACCACAATATTATGTAACTGTAATTATATAACGGTAAGTCAAGCGCGTAATAACCGCCAACTACACTTTACACGCCGACCCCCCCCCCCCTTCCCTCCGACTACCTGTAACACACCATGTCGTTTACCGGCCCCAGGAGGGAATTTCCCCTACTTCCGGGTTTGGAGCTGTAGTTGTCGACTGCAGTGAAATAATAATAATAACAATAATTATAATAATAAGTAGATTACAAGCGGATGACTAGTGACTACGTACATTCCTGTCTAGATAGGGAGATCAACCGCTCTGTTGTGTGCAGATTTTCGCTGTCATGTTGTTGCAATTTAAACGATGATCCGTCTACAGAACAATGCATAGCATGCATCCTTTCCATGTCACTAATACGACTTTATTGTTTTTCAGTTCCCCCAGTGGAAGTGCGCATCACCAACGACAAGCAGGCGTCTGTATCCGCCAACAAGCGCCTGGAGCTGAGCTGTCGTGTGGTGGGCTCCCGGCCGCGGGCCGAGGTCATCTGGTCCCGGAACGGGGCTGTGCTCTCCGGCGCCGTGACGGTCAGTGAGGGGTAAAACCAGTCACCTTGGCGTCGGAAGGGGGAGGGGGCACCCCTTCCGACGGGGGGAGGGTACAACACATCTTCAGTGTGATGTGTAAATTTCGTCCACTAGGTTATAGAGACATGTTCATTGTTCATGGTTTCTTTTAGAAAAATAGTCTGAATATATATGAATAGGTAACTTTCACAGGCCACATGAAGGGACAAAATGATGCTATTGCAAATGCATCAACAATTTTTATTTGACCTTATAAGTGACTTCAAATTGTCAAACAAGTCATTTGTATCAATTTTTCGTCAGCAAATTTGTTTATGGCTAGCAACATTGAATTATGAAAATATGTCTCGTTATTTCGGGGATCGGATGGGGAAATGGTCCCCTTACAAGTCGTTGTATGAAAACAGCCCAGCAGAGCGTGAGTAACTGCGCAATAGCCAAGCTATTTGATGTGTGATAACAATGAACGCGCTCCAAGTAGACAATGAATAATTCATGCAGACGTAATGAGCTCTTAAGGACGGGTGTCGGGTATAGGTAAATGTCTTTTAACAATAAAGCATATGCTTTGTCGGTGGTTATTTTGTTACGATGCATATTTACTATGAACTGTCCCTCGCAATAACAATAAAAACGCTGCTTTCCCTGGTATAGAATATCCATGCTGGCCAGAGATGATGAACCACATTAATTTGAGTGGATTTTTACGTAGCAAAAACAAAACGTTTCACGGGCCTGGTGAAAAGTTTGCCGCTGAGTGTGGCGTGTCGGGTGGTACGGATGAGCCCATAGCTAACTTTCCCCATCACGATAGCACCTCTGCTTCTGAGACCGCGGCCAACTGCAGCCGTCATGCCTTTGATTCCGCTGAACTTTGGCCCCAATCTTCCGCTCTGAGCGCGATTATTTTGACGACTGTCGTTTGCCTTATTTGGCCTAATAAACCGTTTCATGAGAAGATTTATCGCAATTCGTTGGTTGTTATAAGGAAACCAAGGATAATTTACGTCACATCATTTTATATGTGCCGGATGCGTCGGTTTAACAACCCTAACCTGTAGAAACAGCCGGGCCAGATTGGTTTCGAGGACTCGGCTCTGATGGCCCAGTTACTACCGCCCGATATGGTAACCTTATATTGGGAGCGGAGTCTTTGTTAGCGATATTGGTAGGCTACGTTTTTGGAGCAGTTAGCTGTTATAGACAACAATAATGGTATTATAGCTAAGCGCCGGAACAGCGTGATTTTAGCTTGATCTGCTGTGGATCAAGCCCAACACAATTTCGATATTAACAAATTAATACGAATTTCTAATTCAATTTCGCATTATGCCCGCTTATATCATCCCGGCAAATGTCCAGATTTCTGCAAGTCAGGGCAACTGCCGATATTCCGAATATTTTGTGCTTCCAAAAATGGTCATCGGTCAGTGATACAATATAACGACATCCGTCATTCTGTCACTTTTGAGGGGGCCTTGCTTTGAGCCACGCTTCGCCGTCACCTCCTACATTCATAGTATAGGGGAGAACAGTTCCTCCCCTCCCCTCCCCCTCACACCACTGCAAGGGCATCTCCATAAAGCCGACAGCCGGGAATATTTCATAAGGCATTAGGCGCGGACATGCAAGGCAAATTCCATCTATTGAGTCAACACAAGGTTCGGCCGGCTTAAACATCGAGTCGTGGGCTTATCCTAATTGCTGTCAGCTTACCCGGTGAATTTGGCCGATATGCGGGTGTTCCGCCGGTGGGGAGACCGTCGTCTAGCTCGGCTCCGGACACTGGGTGCGTGTGTAACTGTATAATGTATATGTATGTTCCCACTCAGCTGGGCGTGAAATCAATTGTAATGGCGCTGTCCGCTGACGGCTGACAGAGCTGCTGACAGCTGATGGCTGCTGAATGCTAATGGCGCCTGCTGCCGGCTGACAGTGCTGCTGACAGCTGATGGGGAGCGCTGACAGCTGATGGGACTGCTGGCAGCTAAGGGGCCTGCTGGTAGCTAAACGGGGACGCTAACAGCTGATTGGGACAAGTTGGCAGAACCTGCTGATCTCTCAGAGCTGATAGCCATGCTGGCAGCTGACACCTAGAGGGACTGCTGCCAGGTGAAGGGGGACCGTTGACAAATGACAACTAACGGGTCCTTCTGACAGCTTCTGGGGCCCAATGGCTGGGGCCCCTCTGCCCACCCTGCTTGAGGTGGCAGCCCCAGCCACCAGTCTAACGTCCCGCCATCGCCGCACGTCGGCCCGTCCATCGGTCGCTTATCGCCGGCGCGGCAATCTCTCTGTGTCGCCGCAGTCTGCGTGCTGTATGGAGCCGGTAATGTGGCCACGTCCGGCCCACGCAGGCCCCGGTCCCCGTCCATATCGCGGAGTGCCACCCGTCGCGCCAGGTCCCCGGTCCAGTGACAAACGGCACCTCTGGATGGGCCGGTGGGCAGGCGCAGCCGCCGAACGACACGTACAGGGACGCCGGTCATCTGGACTAGATCAGAACATTATTGAGCTAACGGCCGAACCAGACGTGATATGATGTGATAGTAACAGTAGGCAGGACGTGATCTAACCACGAGAACATTTAAGATCACATCGGACCAAAGTGCACTACACCGAACCAAGCCGGACTAGGACGGAAACACCGGAACAGATCCGCAACACCAAGTCTAGACCTGGACCTAACCCCTTCAGCGCGCACCCAGAACGGCGCCCAGACCCGCATATTTTATATATTGCTTGACCAATGGGGCTAAGCATCCATCACTCAGTGATTTGTCGACTATTTTTGCACTCAGTCCGTCTGACCAAGAACTTATGTTTAAATACATTAGCCGTTTTCACGACGGCCATCTGGTACACATTTGGTGCACATCTGGTGCAGATTAGGTGCAGATTGGGTCCAATTAGGTTCAGTGTGTTTCTTAGTAGCTATCAGCTAGGTTTGCACTCATTGTTTATATGCCTGCTTTGTCATATTATCAGAGAGCATCATCATTAAAACACTGAAATAAATTCATAAAATGAAGATATTTGCTGTAAAAGAGATTAGGTGCAGATTTGGTCATATTAGGTGCATTCGCCGGATAGCCCGTCGTGAAAACGGCTACTATGTTTAAATGTGTTATGTTTAAATGCACCACCGCCCACCATCCCATAACATATGTTGGTATTCACATGTGTGGGCTGCAGCGGCCGTCCCGGCCGGCCTCTCACACCAGTGTCTGCCCACAATGGCGGCCGGCTGAGCTGCCCGGGACGGCCGGTCGGCCCGTTCCGCGGCACACCGGGGGGCTGCTGCAGCTCGTTACGCTCATAAAGGTCGTGACCTCAGTCTGGTCTGGAGATAGACGAGCTGCCCCCCCCCCCCCCCTCCCTCCCCGGATCCTGCCCCAGGCCGCAGTTTTAGCAGGTCCTCAGAGGGCCGCGCGGGCAGGCTGAGGGCCCTTCTGTTGACCTATCATCGGTGCCTGCGGTGAGATGTCTTTGACCAGGAAACCTCCACAAGCCACCGCTCGACGAGCCCGGATGTGCGTCGTCGTTGCTTTTTCAGCCCGGCGGCGGTGGCGCTCTCAGGAGGGCGGGGCGGGACAATCTCGGGGAGCAGAGAGCGGAGCACAGGCAGGATAAGGAGAGATAAACGGCCAAAGTCGGTGATGGGGAAGGAAGGAAGGAGAAAAAGCTCGACGGTGTTAGAGAAAGAGTGGGGGAAAGACTAGACTAGTAATCGCCAGAGTCGGTTGAAGTTAGAAATGCAGAGAAATCAGGCACGGAAGGATCGCATCAAACGTATTGAGAGAACAGAGTGGTGAACTGTAGATGGCGACTGTGATGAAGATCTGAAGGAAGGAGGGCATTTTCGTTTATTGTGTAAAAACAAAAAGACTGAGCGCACTAACAGAGCAGGCACGAGAGAACTGCTGAAGAATGACTGTTACAAAAGGGAGAAAATACTAACCCAATATGATGTCTATAATTATTTTTACGGCGAATTATTTGGCGCTAGTTATGTGCCTGTACAACCTCATTGGGGATTTTGTTTCTCTCAGTCGCCTGATTCTAAATGTTTTGTCCTTTTTCAGCGATCTCAGGGAGACAATGTAACCATCTCGACTCTGCGGCTACTACCCTCTGCTGCCGACTCGGGTCAGGTCATCCGATGTCGCGCCTTCAGCCCGGCAGTGCCTGACACCGTTCTCGAGGACTTCTATACCCTCAGGGTCAACTGTAAGTAGCCTCTGGCGCGTTATGAGTGAAACAATATTTGCGGCACAACATCGTAGCATGATGCAGCTTTGTATTTGTTTTATTTTATTTGTTAGTTCCTTTCCCGTATTTTTATTTCATTTTCGTTGTTTCATTTCATATTATTTAATTTGTTACTTTATTCCTGCTCATTTTTCATCATTTATGTGTTTCATTTTGTTCCGTTAGCTTGAAAATTTGCAAATGACCTCAAATAGCCGTATGATTTATTTGTGACATTTCCTCCTGAAGGCTGAAAGTACAACAATGTTAAGTTTCTTGAATGACATTTTCTTATTATGCTGCTCGTTCCTTACCCCGCTGCACCGTACCTCACGTTGCATTGACAAGGTCAGTGCCTCGTCGACCCTCTTGTTGGACCGCTCTTTGAGGACCCGGCTCTCCCGTTAGATCGCTCTATGAGGAGCCGGTCCTTACATCGGCCCGTTCCGTGCGGGGCGGTCCGTCGCCGATCGCCGCTCCCCGGGCAACGCGTGGCCAAGGACACGCTGTTGTGGCGTATCGAGTGGCCCAGTCCCAGCGGACGGCGTGTCCCACTCGCGCAGATGAGACGACACCGGATGGCGGCCATCAATGCATCAACTCGAAGAGCTCGTAAAGCGAACGGAGCCGTGTTTTAGAGCCGCACAAGCAGTAATGATGAGTTAAAAGAACTCGGCGACACCACTTTCAGCGAAGTTTAAAGAGCTTAAGTCGATTAAGGAAAAGTTGTGTATCTTGCGAAATATTTTCTTGAAGCATCTTTAGTCAAGCTATCCATGATTGTCTATGTTCAGTGTTTGTATCATGACTCAATTTTCTAGCAATGCGCTCATAAAAAGCACTCTTGAAACGACTCCGTTGCGGACAATCATTCACCGATGACCATACGTGGCGCAAGAAGAGGAAGACTGCGGGGTTACCTCTGTCTCGATGCCACTGTGCGGTGTGACCAAAGGTGATGCCGGCACTCTGCTCTGAGGGCGCGGGGCTCCTCGTTGCTGACGATGACGGAGCAGCTGTCAGCGGGGGCGCCACTCGAGAGAGGGGCGCCCCACCGGAGCTGATGATGTGGCAGTGATTCGCCAGCGGCGGCGACAACGGCCGCCTGTTAGCCGGCCGGAACTGGCCGCCGCCGCCCGCCGGAGCCGGCCAGAAGACGGATCGGCCCGAGAGCGGATAACGACCCGCTCCTCAGCACCGGCCGCGGTGTCAGCAGCGCCCGCCGCCGCCACGGCCGGCCACCGCTCCATCAAATCCGTGCCCAAACCGGAACATTATGCGCGTTTTTGTGGCATTTGGACAAGGCCCCATCGACAAAGATGTTGTGCGACAGTGTGCTCCATCATGTTGATCAGTCTCACTTACTGATCAATGGATGGACCACTACATGGGGACCTTTTCTTGGCGACAGGTGGGCCAGGGTTGCCTCGTAGACCATTGCTGCTTGCAGTGAAAGTTGTTCTCTCCAACACAAGCTGGGCAGGACGGAGCTGAAAAACACGCATTGTGCTCGGCCTGTTCTTTCAGCACTTATTGTCCTAACTTGTGCACCTCTATTCAGAGTATTTCGGTACGCTGCATTGACTAAGTTTAGTCTGCTGGCGACGGTTACGCGCAGGCCGACTGGGTCCGCGGCGCAGTGTCGCCAGAAGTTGGTGCCATTGATTCAGGTCGTCGTGGAGGTGCCATTGATTTAGGAGGCGGTGCGGAGGTGTCCCTGTGTGCCGACTATAAATTAGACGGGGCCGGCCGTCGCACTGACGACCAGTGGAGCTGAGGTGTAACACCTCCTGCAGTTCTGTCACTGGTCGCCCTCCTCAGGCCGTCACTTCACGGAGGAGGGAAAGGGAGAGAGAGAGAGAGAGAGAGAGAGAGAGAGAGAGAGAGGGAGAGAGAGAGAGAGAGAGAGAGAGAGAGAGAGAGAGAGAGAGAGAGAGAGAGAGAGAGAGAGAGAGAGAGAGAGAGAGAGAGAGAGAGAGAGAGAGAGAGAGAGAGAGAGAGAATGAAGACACGGGACATGATTTATTTCAAGGTTCAGGGATGCGGTTATTTACTTATATAGTAAGCCACGTTGCACACAATCCAAACGTACGTGGTATATTCACGGCTATAAATGATATGTAAATGACGGCCTGTGGAAGGACTCGACTCCCTCTCCGTCTCCACCCCACCGCTGAGGACTCTGATCCCTCTTCATGCCACCATTGAGGATTCTGTTCCCGGCCACCGTCAGGGGTTCATCTCTGGCGTGTGGCTCATCCAATATCAGAGCGCCGACTGATGGGCGCCGTCCTCGCGCCCCTCCCTCCAGCGATGGCGACACCTCCTGTCAATAGCCGGCCAGGAGAGGGGGGGAGGCGCCCGGCCCCGTCCGCGACGGCCGTCAGCGCGGGCGCCATTTATTAAACTGGCGTCATTCGACTCTAACGTACTGCCCGGTGATAAATCGGAAACGTGCGGGTAATGAAGGCACCGGTCCCAGCTGCGGGCCGTCGCGTCGGCGGCTCCGACGCCCGACGGTGTCTCGGCCCGCCCCCGAGCCGCGTCGCCAGCATTGGGAGTCTCAGCGCGCCAGTGTCCGGGACATCCTTCATAGCTGTCTCGGTGTGCCCCTCATCCCCCCCCCCACGCGCTTCGAGTGCGTCTGCTAGGGGTTTAGCCGGACGGTGGCAATCTGTGTTTTCTCATAGCATCTCGGGCAATGCCAGGCTCATAGCGGCGCGCAATGCCAGACTTGCACAGCGCACAGCTGTGTTTGCCGGTCGCTCCACACTCGCCTCATTGCCAGGTAACGGGTCGCACCTGAGGACCGCTTGCCTGCCGTCGCCCCCCACCGCGCCGCGCCGCACCGAGCCGGGCCGCCGCGGGCGTCCGACTCTGATTTACGGCCGGCAGCCCGTGCAGCGGCCGGCCGCCGGCGAATTAAATGGCCCGGAAGGCTCAGGCACTGCCGTAAACTGACGCCCATTCGAGCCCGATTGCCTGGGGCGTTGTTGTTGGCCCGCTCGTCGGAGATCTAACGCTGCCGCTCGGATTGGCGAGTTCCGGGCATGGCCGCCGCCGCCGGCGCTGTCCGGGTCATGGGCGGGCGCCGCCGGAGCGGGCAATGGGCGGTGGACGGTGGATGGCGAACAGGGGACGTCACAGTGGAAAGTGGACAATCGAAAGTGGACAAGGGGAAGTGGACAGTGGACAATTACCAGTGGACGGTGGATGATGGACAGTGGAACGTGAACAGTGAAGAGATGACTGCAAATGGGACCGTGAACAATGAACTGTAGAAGTATGGAATCAGAAAACGAACGGTAAACAGTGGACAATGGACATATAATGCTGGATGATACACCATGCTTTTGAATGACGGACAGTGGACAGTGGGCGATGTAAATTGGACGATGGACATTGAATTGTGGACAATATACAACGGACAGTGTGCAATGGACTGCGAACAACAGACGGCTGATTGTTGACGGCGGACTGGCCGCACATGCTGACGTCATTGTACGGAGTACGGACCGTGGCAGTCCACTGTCTTGTCCGCTTGACCTATGTGGTGGCAGAGTCCACTTCACACGGTGGAGCATGTTAAAATTGGTACATACTTACTTTGAATTGGGCCAAGACAGACTGAGTGACGATCACTAGCGGACCCTCATGGCGCCACACCAGAGGGTCAGACCGGCCATTGGCATGCTAACAGCACCCGGGTGTGATCTCTTTTCGGCGTCCGGCGGCCTTTTCCCGCCCTCACCCCGTGACATTTGAAACAGCAGAATGTGGGCTCTTCATGGACCGCCGACCTGCTGTACGTGAACTTGCCAAATGGTGTCGCAGGATGGCAGGATATGCCCGTGTCGTAACCGGGCATTGTCTCTAGTGTCGGCCGGCGAACGAACTGACACTAAGTGCTACAATTCCCGGAGAGTAGGGCTTGATGTTCGTTGCTGCCTCTCATAAGGCTTAGCGGTAGGTAAGCGCTGCCTTTCTAGAGCAGGTTTGGCACTGAAAATGATCTCCTTTTTCAGACCGGCCGGTGGTTGGCCTCACTGTGGGACACACGCTGAAGCTCTCCGACATCGAGGAGGGCGACGACGTCTACTTCGAGTGTCACATCCGTGCCGTGCCCTGGGTTCACAGCCACGAGTTTCGCCTCAATGTGAGTGACCCGGAGATGGCGCAGCCAATGACCCGAGTCGACGGCCCGAGCTGGAGAACCGAAGTCGCCCTACACCGTCAAAGCACGTCATGTCTGTTCATTAGGCACACATAGTTAGTTGGATGTTCCGTAAAGTTATAGTTCATCAGCGATGCCTCCCACTGAGTTTCCAAGTAAACATTCCCGTCAATCAGCTGCTAACTCTCTACGGTGAACTATGAAGTAATGTACTCAATGCTAAGAATCCGCCGACAATGAAAATGGATACCTGCTGGGACCGACTCCTACGACTTGTCACAGGGGATGTGGGAGCGACGATGGTGTGCAGGACCTATTCATGGCCCAGCTGAGACTGAACCCATCAATAATGCGCATGTTTACATAGGCAGACATATAAAAAAATAAAAGGGAATCAAGCGACTTATGGAACTTCGCTTTCATGGCCACGTTCACAGTCAAGTGCCATTCAAGATAATCTGAATGGCAGACGTTCATAATCTGAATGGCAGACGTTCATCGCCGGAGTTATCATCAATATACGGTTCGTACCGGTTAAAGTTAAACGGTCAGCCGCCAGCGTCATTTGGTGCAGTTCGCTGCTGCTGCTACCCGCATCAGTCGCTAAGTGCCGCGCCGCTATCAGTTTCACCGCGGTCGCTTCCGTGCGTTAGGCGTTGATACCATTTCCATCGCCCTTTGAAGCGCTGCGTAACACGATATGGCGCCATCATTTGGTAGCAGCCGTCGAGCCCATGTCGCTAATGGACCGCACTCGGGCTATTGCCATCTCGACTACACCGTGTGGCATGTTTCAGTTATGAGCACACTGTGTATCCTGGTGATGGGGTCTCCTGGGAGGGGCGGTAACACGAGCCATCTGCAGGGGGAGGGAGGGAGGGAGGGTCTGTCACCACACCGCAATCAGCCGGGCCGCGCGGGGGGAGGGGCAGTCGCCGGCGGACAGAGACTGCTCCCCGCGGGCCGTGTGTGTGCCCACAATCACTTTACGGTGCCGTTCCCGGGGGTGCTTTGCGGCAGTATAAGCGGAGAGGCGGTCCGTGCCCGTCCAACTGGCCATGAAGCCAGGGGAGAGAAGGAAGGGAGGGGCAAGCGCCGACAGCGACACTGGCGGTCCCAGGGGGGGGGGGCCACGGGGGCCATGGCCCCCCCTTTGGTGCTGAAAGGTGGGGCCATACTATCTTTTGGCCCCACCTTTCAGATCGAACAAAAGTCCTAGAAAAGCTTTTCGTATGTTTCATTTTCTTTCTTGCGCCATCAATGGACGTAAATTTCACTCATGAGTGGGCTCAGTTTCGCATTCTGTCAATTTGGCGGTCAGCGTCGCTGGCACCGGCTCACGAGCATGGCCGGATCTTATATGGAATATCAGCGTGGGTTTACTTGAGGCTCTCGTAGGCCCAGCAATGGCTGGAATGAGACCCTCTTCGGCAGTGGTGGGTGGGCCCTGCTAAAGGAGATTGGCTCTAAGACACTAAAGTAAGACCTCATGGGTTGGTGCTGTGCACCTCAGAAGCCAGGTGGTGACGACGTATGCCGGCTTGGTTTCTTAAGGATTAGCGTGGGAACTCCGGGGCCTGCATAGAGTTTGCATGAGCTAGTATGTAATCTCAGAGGCATGTGTGTAATGTGTACACAGTGGCGGTCGCGGGGGGGGGGGGGCATCAGGGCCATGCCCCCCCCAAAGGTCAATAAAGGGGGCCATCATATCATTTGCCCCCCCCTCAAACCCTCAAACAACCAATGGGCCCCCATATAGGTGTATGGGGCCCTGGCAATTATTCGATCGTCACGAGGCTCAAAAAACCCACGCCCAGCTATTAATATAGCTCCCACACCGGTCTTTGAGCGTCCTACACTGACCTCTGAGGGAACTTCAGTGGCGGTCAAGCGCCCACGTTGACCGCTAAGAGCCTACATCAACCTCTGAGACCCCACATCTGGCCTATGAGGGCCCCTAACCGGCCTCAGGGGTCTCAACCGGCGTCTGAGGGTCTCACACCGGTCTCTGGTGGCCTTATTTCTGTCTGTGGTGTCCCAAGACGAACCTTTAGGTGCCAAAGAGGGCCCCGCACTGGCTGCTGAAGACCCGATGCCGGCCTCCAAGGGCCTGCATTGGCCTCTGAGGAGGGCCCAGCTTGGCCTTTGAGGGCCCTCTGCCGGCCTCTGGGGTCCAACGACGGCTCATGCCGGTCTTTTAGGGCCCCACGCTGACCTCTGAGGGCCCATGTTGGCCTGTAATGACCCACATTAGCCTCTGAGAGCCCAACTCGGTCACTGATTGTCTCAAACTACTGGTCTGTGTAGTTTGCAGGCCCTGTACTGGTCCCTGAGTGCCCTAAACTGGCCTCTACGTGAAAACATACATGGGTGGGTTTCTGAAGATCAGAGGGCTCACGCAGTCTCCGGCACAGCCTTACGTTGGTCCTGATCGAGATTACTTTACGTCCTGATGGTCTCGCGCAGATTCCCTAATATTTCGACGTCGGGACCCCATGAGCCGGTGTGGGTCCTGGGGCTGGCAGAGACTGATGAAGTCCTTAGCAGGGGTGTCGTTTTATGAAAATGATTGGTAGGGCTCAAAAACGGTAGACGGCCATTTATGACGTGCTTACAAAGGTAGGGTACCCCCAAATTTGCCCTTCTCATCGGATTTCGGCCACTTATAGTTCCGCTTTGAATTTGAAATTTGAAAACTGAATTTGACAATCAAAACTAAAACACAAAACTTCTTGGAAATCTTGGTACTACCGAACCAATGCACAAAACATGCATTTATAGAGGCATTTGTGTCAGAGGACACGCTCGTTTTTTCCGCGAAGCTCTACATCGATCAGGGATCGAACGGTTCATAACTGACCTTTTCATCAAGTGATATATGACAAAAGATTGGTAGGGCTCACGGAACATTGGTAGGGCCCATATAAACATTGGTAGGGCTCGGGCCCTACCAGGCCTATACAAAACGACGCCCCTGCTGTGGGGGGTCTCCAGAGGTCGGTGTACCTACTCTCTCCCACCGCCACACAACTATTATAGGTATGTTACCTATATGGGTAAATGCCATAGTCTGAAAATGCTCTCTGGGTTTCACATGCTTGTTCAAAGCAAGAGGTATCTGTACTTTTCCGAATTGTTTTATAGTGGTAAGGTCATGAATCCGCGTGCCTGACCTTCCAGTATGCCTATTACCTATGCTACACCGATCCGTCGTCATGGTGCAGTGGGCCGACCGGTGGAAGCACCGTGGGACGGGAAATGGAACTGGTGATTTTGCCTTAAATTGAGCTTAAAGATTTCACGCAAGAATCAGATGGATGAAGCATAAGTAATGCCAACTGCGCGGCACCTCGTGGACGTAAAAAATTAGCCGATCACCCCCCCCCCCCCTCCCGGTGACGGATAAATGTTACGTCCCGCGAGTGTGACTTTGGCCCCCCCTTTTGCTAGCGGCTGCGACCGCCAGTGGACAGCGAATGACGACTGCGCGCGCTGCTGGATGGGAGAAAAGGGTAAAACACTAACAGTATCCCCAGTGACTACCTTTGAAGTTCAATCATCTGATAACAAAGAGAGACTGGCTATCAGATGATTGAACTTCATTGACAATGTCTGCTAGACACACGCCTCCTCACAGTGTTCAGTTGTTCGCTACACATACATATGTAGAATGTAGATGTTTACGTTTAAACGCCATTAGAACGCGTTTCACCATTATGCAAGATATAATAAGGATTATCTAAACACTAGCAGGCAGGCATCTTCATCCGGTGGTCCATATTCTACCATTGTAATTTTATATTGATTTGCGGTTTTTGCAAGGCCGATAACACTAGTCTATGACAATTTTGTTCCGATAGAAATGCTAACTGAATTCTCAATTAAAGTACAATTTTGAAATTTAAGCCATTTATTTATAATGTGAACATACGGACAACTTTTTGTAAGTTGTCCCCTTGTCATTGAAAAATGGTCATTCCATCAAAAGTTGTTGAGCCACTGATGATTCAGCCACTCCTTCTCAGAGCTAGGTGCGAATTATTATTCTTAGATGCAATAGGTATAGCTATCTTGAATGATGAAGGTCACGTATCTAGCACGTATCTGCTTCAAAGAAGGATGCTGGTCTTCCTTAACCCTCGCCGGCCGAGGGGGGGGGGCGGGTGCCGCCCCCCCCATAGGGTTTTTTCGCGATAGCTCCGAACACGCTGGCGATAGAGAGCTGAAACTCGGCATACCTGACCTTTGATCCAAGCCGCATCTTTTGACACCAACCGCATTTTTGGGTCAGGTCAGGTCACTGACCTATGACGTCATAAGTGAACCTCTGCACGGTCTTCAGATGTCGCAACTTCGCAACGCCTGCACTGCCAGAGGAGATGTCACAGGGAAATGAAACTTGCAGGATCTAGTATCCATTATGAGTCCCACAACTTGTATATCTCGGATTTTTCCTAAAGGTCATATGAGGTCAGGTCATTTTCGTGACCTCACCATTATAAGTCAATGGGGAAAAATGAAAACTGCTATTCTGGCGCCGGGAACGATCTCCAACTATCTCAAGCACACAGAATCGTGATTTTATGCACTCCTTGCAAGGTTGGATGCGTCACTTTTGCAATGTTGACCTTGCGTGACGTCATTTATGACGTCATCAAGGTCATATTAGTTTTTCGTCAATAACTCTTGATCAAATTGAGCTAGCGAGTCGGGAAAGCCACCAATGGACTCAGGAAGACCTGCCGAATCGAATGATATGCGACATGACCCCTTCCGACCAGCTTCGTGACCTGGGGGTGCTGACCTGACCTTGACCTGAGGTCAACACCCCAAGTTGACCTGACCCGGACAAAAAGTATATCATTCGACGCGCCTGAGCGAGACGAACACGATGCTGCCAAAATCGGCGCTCTGCGGCCGTTTTTTGCGAAGTTATTCACCAAAAACTGAACCGTACCTTGGGGCACTTGACCTGACCTCAGAGGTCACCGGTTGACCTAGGACCTTAAAATCGGGTACCAATCTCTGCGTCTCGTAACGGCGCACACGCTCGTTTTTTCCGCGACGCGCTAGCTCCACCAGGGGCGAAACGGCGAGGGGGGGGGGTCGTACCCGCCCCCCCCCTCGGCCGGCGCGTATGTAGAAAACCAATAGGTCCGGCGAGGGTTAAAATGTTTCCATGAATAAGTAACATATTTGCCAGCAGTGCGTTCCAATTAGGAGCTTGGGGTGTAGAATTGACACGGAATCATTTCTACCGTAAACCGCTAACACAGCCACTGATTCCAGCCCTCGGCCACTAACATAACAGCTCTATCAGTAGCTGCGAAACCAAACAGAACGCTTCAGCTCCGACAACTAAAACACAACAATACCAATCAACTAGGGGCGGAATTGCTACCGCGAAGGCAAACACTTCAGGCACTCCCTTTATACCTTTGCAATCAAGTCTGTGCAAACTGAACGTAACGGGGAGTTAGCAATGAGTGGGTCGGTACAGTCGCGTGCCGTAGTGACCGACATTCACATTGACTTTTTCATCTCCGACGAATATTGTCGAGTGCCGTGAGGCGTGAATGGCTGTTGGCAGCACTGGTACAGCTGCCAGATTCGAAGGAGAGTGTTCTTTCTAAGCACCAATGAATCATTTTAGGTCGCACCGGTCTACATTTGTGTTCGACAGAGCATAAACAATGAACGAAACAGAGCAGTGCCCAGTTTCGCAGTACCACTGTACTACGACCGTTGTGCATACATACCAATGTTGTACTGTTGTAAATAGTTAGTACACAGAATAGCTCCCTGTTTTCTCGCAGGGCAAGCCTCTGGTACACAGCAAGACGGATAAGATCATCATGATCAACCAGAGCCTGGCGCTGCAGGACCTGACCCGAGAACGCTCCGGTACCTACACCTGCGCCGCCTCCAACGACGAGGGCGAGGGCGTCAGCGAAGGTGTCTACCTACCCGTCAAATGTGAGTAGTGCACCCTTTCAGCACTGCCGACCACCGCCGACCCTGCAGGTCAGCCGAGCGCACCCCCACCGGGTCGGCCGCGGCTGCCAGGGAACCGCCGGGGTCGGGTCATGCACCGTGACGTGGTCCTGGCCGACTAACGAGCCGTGGCACGGCGGCGAAGCCGGGTAATCCGGCGGGTCAGCACGCACGGCTGAACACTGTGCGATCTCCCCGTCCCGTCGCGCCGGCGGCGACTGGGAGGGAGGGCTGGACACAGACCAGAGAAAGGCACTGTACACTGTACAGCTAACTGGCAGAAACACACACCTCACTGTACAACACACGGCTCGACCAGTCACTCAGACAAATTAAAACGGATCCCTGTAAATGAAGCTGTGGTTCACCATAGTCTCTTTAGAGAGGCAGAATAGTGCAATCACCTGTGAGGTGAATGGAATCCTCTTGAATGCGGATCTTTTCCTTTATAACAGACAAGTCAACACGCTTGCTCTGAGACATTCCTTTATAATGTGGCTTACCTGTATCATTTCCGTTCGATGAGTGTAATTTTTGTGCATTTATTTTTATTTTTGACACCATGGATCCACGGATCACGAGAAGACCGGACTGTCCTGTAGATTCCGATAGCCGAGGCGCTAGGTCAAATCTGCCTTAAGTATGCTCCATCTTAAAAAGCAGCTTCGCGACATCCCCGACCGCTGTGGCGGTCGAACCAGGCTCGAGAGGCTGGGCTCGAGGCCTTTGAAGTGTTTGTTGGCCGTGATTTTCAGAGTGTGGTTCCCAACGGTTAGGGTTTCGAGACGGATAACGCAAATAAAGAATCCCAAATAAATATGGAGAAGTCATCAAAAAAGGTTAGTCGCGAAGGCTAGTTTGTTTTATTTGTTGATCTGCACCATGCTCAAAAGAAACTCCGTAAAATTGTCATAGGGGACGCACTGAACCCACACAGCATGGCAGGCGACAGTCCAAATAAATATGTTTATCGTTGGCCATTGTCTCGGCTTCCTCCGGAGCATTTAATGACCCATCGTTTTGCCTCGCAACAACTTCTTTCCTTTAGAGAGCAAAATCTTTGCGCAGGACAGGCAGCAGGATGACGTCATTGCCGCGGACATGTGTCAGACCCGAAAAGATATTGCATTCCTTTCTAGGACATCGTAACTTCCTAGGAAACTGATTGAGTCTGGCTCTAGGAGACTGCGAACGGTTAACCCGCGAGTTGCTGGGGGGGGGGGGGCGTTAAACGCCCCCACTTTTTTCGCCGGGCCATAGCATAAAAACGGCGCGCCTGGCGCCGCAGGCGCGCCAAATTTTGGGTACCTGTAGGGAATCAATTGAAGTTTATTGTGACAAAGTTTCAAAAAATTCGATCGGAAATTTTTTGAGATATCGAGGTTTTAGTGACGTCATGATTTCTGAGTTTTCGACCAAAAACGGCATATGTTCACAAAATCATATAAAATCACAGAATAGACATACAGACATGCCGTAAACGCCATTAGACTGCCGATACCATGAACAATCAAATGGCTATCTTCGATTATTGATTATCATTTCGCATTTTCCAAAATCTTGAACTGAATCTTGGCAATTTCTCGTGACTACTTCACCACCATGATACATGCATTTCTTAAATTGAACTTTTTGAGCCAAGCACGTACGGTTCTCCAGTAAAAGTCTTGTTGGTTTTGCTTTTTCGGACATATCTGGTCCTATATAATGTTCAAATGCAAAAGTATCAACCCGAATAATGTGTATGCACATTTACCACGATACTGTGAAATTGCATCGTTGTATGCCAAATACTTTCCGAGATATTCACCAAAAACCTCATTTTCTGCCGTTTGGGGTATTCTGGCCGCAATCTTCCTGGGATCGCCTATGACATCAGTAGAGCCATCTAACGAGAGGAACGCGGAAACACAGAAACATGAATGAATCGAGCGCGTAGTAAGCGGTGAATGAAAGGGAGACTCGGCAGAGGCTATCCGGGTGGCCGGCGCGCGGCGCGCCCTTAGGCATCGGCCGACCCTTCGGACCGCGTGGGGTCAGAGGTCGCGCTCGGGAAGTCTCGGCTCTGGGTTTTAGCGCTGTGCAGTCAGGAAGGGAGGATAGGATAGCGCTAGCCCGACTGACTAGTATCTCGGCTGATTCGTGTGGGATGGAAGGGAGCACAGATCGGGATGGTGGCTAGTGGTGGATGATGGGATGGTGGTTAGGTTAGTGCGTACTGCGTAGAACGTAGCTGAACATGTATTTTTTTTCATAGCAAACAACATGCAGCATAATGCGCGGGATTATGCCAGAACTCATACAAAAAGGAAATAATATTTCGGCCGAGGGGGTGGATGAGTGCCGTGACAAAGGATGACGATGCTGCCAAAATCGGGATGCTTTTTTGCCCCCAGCTTTTTTTACCCCTAACATGCAGCGCTTGATCCGAACTTAGAGGACCCCGACTGACCTTAGACCTTAAAATCGCACCCGTCCGGTGCGCCACCTTTTCTTCAGGGGCGCTCTTCTTGGTTGTATCTGTTCTTACCATTAACTAAAGCAAATCGAATGTTTAATAAAAAAGGCATACCTCAAACACAGTTTTATTCACATCCGCTCGTGCGCATACTTGTTTTGACCTATACCTTCTCGCATCATAATATATCACTTCAGTGCTTAACCCTCAATGGAATTTTGGGTTTTCTGCATATACCCCGGCCGAGGGGATGGGGGCGATTATGACCCCTCTCCGTCTTTTTGCCCCTAGTTGAGCTAGCGCCTTGCGGATAAAACTGAGCGCGTGCGTCGTATGAGATGCAGCAACTGGTACCCGAGTTGAATGTCTCAGGTCAACCGGTAATCTCTGAGGTCAGTATAAGTGCTCCAAGTCGCGGGATCGGTTTTTGGTAAACAGCTTCACCATAAGTGGTTACAGAGCCAAGATAATGGCACCATTGAGTTTTGCATGCTCAAGCGCGTCGAATAGCGTTTTGTTTTTGTTGAGGTCAATTTAAGGTGTTCACCTCAGGTCATGTCAGGGCAGAGCCACTCAGGCCACGAGGCTGGCTCATGGAGGTCATATCGCTTCTTTGATTCGGTAGGTCCTCACAAGTCCACAGGTGGCTTCCCGACTCGCTAGCTCAATTTGATCGGGACTTTTTGGTGAAAACTCCTGTAACCTTACTGACGTCATAAATTAAGTCGCCTAACTTTAAGAATGGAAAAGTGAATGCTGGGGCTTCCAAAGATTGTATAAAATCGCGAATTAGTGCGCTTGAGACAGCTTTAGATGGTTCCCGGCGCCAAAATAACAGTTTTCATATTTCCCAATTGATTAATAATCGTGAGGTTGCGTGACCGACCTGACTTCAGGTGACTCTTAAGAAAACTACGAGATAGCTACATACAAGTTGTGAGGCCTCTGGGAGATAGTACTAGATCATATAAGCTTCATTCCCCGTTGAGAAGTCCCCTGGTTCGAAGGGTGCTGCGACGTCGCGACATTTTGGGACCTTACAGAGGTTCACTTTTGACGTCATTGGTCAACGGCCTGACCTTAACCTTCGCACTTGTAGGAGGGTGTCGAACAGACCTCCTACCCTCAGTTTTTCGCAAATAACTCGCGCAAAAAGCGGCTGATTGCGACGAAACTTTCAGTACCCTCGAGTTAATCAATATAACGCCTACCCTATAATTTGTATGACCCTGACTCAAAAGACCTTTGACTTGTGACCTGTTTTCCGAGACCATGTTTGGCCGGAATCGCGTTTTGGCGTATTTCGAGTAGAGCGCGTTTTATTGTCTTTTTAGCTTTAAGCGATCAAACATGTGAAAGGATGTTGATCCCATGGATTCTAGTGGGTGTCAAGGTCACGTGAAGGTCAGTCAGGTCACTGACCTTTGATGACCTTTGTTCACTCTTTCGAGTTCTACATGTTACTAGGGTAGATTTTGGAGTTGATTTCGCATTTAGAAACCGTTTGAGCATTTAATAAGTAGTTTTGGTTCCCTCGTAACATGTGACCTGACCTGACCTGACCCGACCTGGCCTAAATGCACGAAAACATCATCTGTGATCAAAACTAACTTGAAATTCGTGGTCAGCACCCCGCAAAACCCTATAACAGCTTCACTTTACGAAGCTCTAACAGGTCCCGATTCCCCGACTTTTGAGTTAAATTGACCTGTCAACCAATGACCTATGACCTTAAAATTGGGTATCATCGGCCTCCTCTCGTCACGGGAAACACGCTCTTTTTCCGCGAAGCTCTAGCTCGATCAGGAGCTGAACGGCAAAGGGGTCCAACGGACCCCCCCCCCCCCCTTTACGATAGACGCTGGCAAAACACCAATATGGGCGAGGGTGAAAATACAGCTGCTGTCATAAAAATTCACCTTGAATCAAAGGTCAGGCTTGCCAAATTTCAGCTCTCGCAGCTATCAACAAAAATAAACATGTGGAGGCGGCACCCGCCTCCTCCCCCCCCCTCTCCTCTCGGCCACTGCCAGCGAGGTTATCAGCGAGGTTAGGCCACTGCCAGCGAGGTTAGCGTATCATACACGTTACAAAGCATCATATCAAGATGACACACCCCAGCAGCCATGTGCACTGAACAAAAACTTATTACCCTCGCTAGTCTATCGGCACCATAGCACATGGTCGAGACTGTCGTCAGCCACGGACGCGCACTCGACCAACCCTCTGAGCCCGTTGACTGCGGGTGACCTTGACATGTCAAGCCTGATCGGCGGCCGGCCGCTGTCGTGCGGTCGTTACACGCGAGGGGAGGGAGACACAAAGCTCTACGTTATAGCTGACCTCTGACCTTTCCCTGCGCTCTGGTCACTGACCCCGCTCCCAGGGGCGGCGCCACGGGTTTTCGATAGGGGGGGACGGGGACGGGGGCTTGCCTGACTGAGAATCCCAAAAGTAGATACTGATCGTGTATGCAAAAAAAAAAACGAGGCACGTAACGCCGCGAAACTTGGCAAAGCCCAAA